TTTTTTTGTATTGAAAAAATATCGAACCGTGACACCAAAGTATCGAACCGAACCGAACCGTGAATTTTGTGTATCGTTGCACCCCTAATATATATATATAAACATATATATATATATACTGGCCTATGCAGCAAAGACATTTTAACAGTTTGAGATGCTGTGTAAGTTAGCTGATCCAACCTACCAGCAATCTGGGCGATGGCATTGATGATGTCATCAAACACTGGAAATCAAAGTGGGAAAAACAACACAATGAATACTGTACAGGAACCTAATATGACAATACCAAGAGTAATAGCTGACCCATTAGAACACTAAAAATGTACCTTTGCCTGAAATGTCAAACACAGATGTGTCCTTTCCTCTGTCGTCACCGACTACTGCCTTGTAAACACCTTGATCTTTTCTGGAGAACTGAATAAAAACAAGGTTATTTCATATTGCATTACATTTTTCAGCGTGGATTGTGCAGATGTTACCATTGGGAGGGGAAGAGCACAGGATCCAGACATGACATTGGGGGGAGTATCTGGAACAATCTCCTCATCGTCTGTGTACCAGTGTAAAGTTGACTCCTTCTTCACATTAGCCACCTGACAAGTACAAAGATTAAAGGGTTTTGTTTTTACAAGAAAGCAAAGCAATAAGAAGTGAAACAGAATCAATAAACATGTGGAAAGCACATCTGACATGTGGTTCAGAGTTACAGGAAATCCTACATAATTACGTGGTTTTGTTACCTTGCAGACGAGCATAACAGTGCAATCCTCGGTGACAGTAAAATATAGATACTCAGAGAAATGTGCGCCTACAAGGACAAGAACAAAGAACCACATGAATGACATAAATTAAGGCCGCACAAACTTGCTCAAACTTGCTTACTACTTGTGACAAAGTGTTTTTTTAAGTCATCAAAAATATTCATACCTTGCTTCCTAATGTGCTCTTTCCTCTGAAACTCAGCCTCCTTCAGAGCAGCCTTGAACACTGAATGAGTAAAAACAGACACAGATGAAATGCTGGCTGTGCTGGTTGGTGCAATCAGAGAAACAGAGGTTTTTATAAAAGTTTCCGAAGCAGTATTCCCACACGAGTTATATGGACTTCTATGTGAGAGATGGAAAACTCTCACCATCTCCGACCAGGACCAGGGAGCTCTGGGTTTTGGCCTTGCCATCATGGATCTGAACAGTATATGTGCCCTCATTGGCTCTGGTGAAAAGATCCACTGTCATCTGGATGATTCCAGTGGCCACATCGTGACTGATCTTCTGTCCCTAAGAGGAATAAAATGATGAAAATATTAAACTATGAGAATTTCTATGTGTTTAACTACTTTTACCACTCATTTGTAAAAAAAAAAAAAAGGAAAGACTACTTTACACTATCTGTTCTGCTTTTAAGAAACTACTAGAATAATAAAAGATTTGTAAAGTTTCCTTGTCTTTGTTCAAGTAACATATGGGTTCCTTTACATATTTAGCTAAACTTTACTTGGAAACATTTTATTTTGAATGAAACTAAAGAATAAAAATGAAGTGACCCTGAGCTGACTGCTTGGCAAGAATGATGTTTGTGTGTTTGTGTAGTTGTTTTTTTCTGACTGAATGCTATTTGAGATCATATCAGTTCAAGAAAGATGTGAACCAAAGCTGGGAAAAAGGAGAACAAGAAATGCAGGAAATTTTACTCTTAAGTCCTCAACTTCATATTTATGTCATGTAATGTGTAGAATGAAAGTCCAAAACGCAAACTTCAGATGTAGACTCGATGAAACAAAAGGCCAGCTGCTGATTTAGCCGATGAAATCCAACTTAGACGCAAACTGAAGTTAAATAATACAAGATGCAAAGTAACTAAATCCAGGAAACCAGAAGAAACATTCCAGGAAACAGAAAGGGAAGTATGACAAGGAACACACCCAAACTAAGGCCCGTACCACGTACCCGGGTATTTTTGAAAACGCAGATTTTTCTATGCGTTTGCACCTTTCGTCCAAACGTAAACGGCGTTTTCGGTCACTGAAAACGGAGATTTCTAAAAACTCCGGCCAGGGTGGATATTTTCTAAAAATCCGTTTTTGCATTTACGTGTGGACGAGAAAAACGGAGAAAACGCAGCGTCAAAGGTGTGCGCATTTTTTTGACGTTACACTGTGCGCCACGTTATTGTTTCGGTGAAATGAATTTCTACAATGGCGGACGTAGACAAAATACTGTTACTGTTACTTGTACTCTCTGCAGTGTTTAAATGCTTATATATACACACACAGTTACTGTCCCTCCACACATACGACTCAGTTCTGCTTCTATGCGCCATCTTTGTTTACTATTTCCCGCCGAGGCTTCTAGACTTCTGATTGGCCAACATTTCTACACGGATAGGAATATAGTGCCACCTGCTGCTTTGGCATGTTCCTAGCAGCGTTTTCCTTCGTTTTTGGCTTTTATGTGTGGACGGGATTTTTTTTTTTATAAACGAAAACGGAAAATCTTCGTTTTCAAAAATACCCGTGTATGTGTGGACGTAGCCTTTAAATACACACAGGGCGGCTGTAGCTCATGAACAGGTCATCCACTAATCGATCCGTGGCCGTTCTAGTCTCCACGCCAAAGATGTGGAACCTTGAGCTGCTCTCGATGCGTGAATTGTGAATGTCAGAGAAAAAGCACTTAGATGTAGTGCATGTATAAATGTGTGTGTGAATAGATGAATTGCTGCTGTAGAAAGCGTTTCGAGTGCTCAGGTACAATAGAAATGCACTATATAAGAACCATTTACCAGTTACATGCAGACACAGAGGGCAATCAGGGATGAGTGAAAACACCTGGGTAACAGAAAACAGCTGAAACCAATCAAAGACAATAATACAGGGGAAGTGAAACAAAATACAACACGAGACATAAATGACTATCAAAATAAGACATGAAGTAACCCAAACAGAGGAGACAACTTGACCAGATACACACAGACACTGGGAAGGCTAAAGGCTACACAAAGTGTCAGAAACATAAAAAATATTAAAGATTAACAGAAACCATATTACAAAGATAGTAAGAACTTAAGACTAAACATGGAGACATTACTAAAAGAATAAAATCATGAAAGTGATAAACTAAACTCTAAACAATCAAACTCAAACAACTAAAATCAAAATAGAGGATGCTTAATGACTAATAAGAATTCAATGTCCTAAAAGCAAGAGTTCAAAATATCTCGATGCGTGGGAATGTTCAATCACTCAGGTAAGAAAATCCCCAAAAGTTGATTCTGTTCATCTGGATGTTGTCATGGTTCTGGGTCAGTGACCCAGTGTTTTTGATTTTTTAACTCTTATTTTTGATATTATGAATTATGACAGTTTGTGTTTTGGTTTCCCAGTGTTTATTCTGTGCTCCCTCTGTTTTCCATCGTCCCTGCCTGTGTATCCCCTCTAGTGTAGTCAGGTCTCTGTGTTAAGCCCGCGTCTCTGAGTCTGTGTCTTTGCGTGTGTGTTTCCTATTTTATTTTGAAGGTCCGTGTCTGATCTCAGTGTGTTCAGGTTACGCTTCCTTGTCTCATCAGTTCTGATTTCTCCCAGCTGTGCTCTCCTTCTGTGTCTCATTCCCCTCGTTACTTCCCAGTGTATTTAAACCCTGTGTGTCTCTGAGTCAGTGTTGCGTTGTCCCTCATGCTGTGTGGATCTCCCCGTGTATCACTGTGAGTTTACGTTGCCCTTGTATGACTTTCTCCTGCCAGCAAATAAAGCTGAGTTCTTTGTGTTTAAACCTCGTGCCTGAGTGCCTGCATTTTGGGTCCAACTCTTGCCTGCTACACAGCGATTCATGACAGATGTAGCATTTTCGGTGGGAGAAATGACAGTGGGATGACTGACGAAACGCTTCTCCCACTGAGAACGCTGCGTCCAGATGAACAGAATCAAGAATTCAAGATGTGTGATTGTATTTTTCTATTAGGACTGAAGAGACACAGAAGAGAAGACTTACAACTCACTCATAATTAAAATTCACACTCACTCATTTCTGAAAGGTCGACACCTTACCTCCCCACTCGTGACTTCTTTGTCGTTGACAATGAATCTGTACGACACAGATGGTGAAAGTTTGACTGCCTGCAACCAGAATCGCACGTGTCCTTTCTCCAGAACCTCATAGTTCAGACCATGTTTCAGAGGAACAACTGAAAAAGACATTTAAAAATTAAATTAGTAGGAAACAAACTGGATGTAACTGGGTTTGATGGTGAGGCACAACACTCACTCGGATGTCTGATGGCATAGCTGAGCTCCAACATAGTGTTCAGGGCTGCAGGAAAGATTCAAGAAAACAAATTCAGAGCGAGAAGAACTAAGAGGCTCTGAATGATGAAATCTGATGTTTTTACGACTGCTTTTCACATTTAGAGCAACTTGTAGACATGACTGACCATCCTCAGTGAGAGTATGGCTGGCAGAGACTCCATCTGTGTCAGTGACGACGACAGAGTATTTGCCCAAATCATCTTTATCAGGGTTAGTGAAAGTAAGTCTGGACCTGTGAAATAAAGGTAACATCCATTACAGTCAGGACATTTAAAGCAGTTTTCAACTGGGATTCAACAGGATGTCAAACATAAAAATTCTTTCACAAGTTACTGTAATTCAAATTTGCTGTTATTTAAAACAGTGGGTTTGTTACAGTGTCATGTTACATATCCTAATGGTATAGTCCTCACTATTTCCTCATACTCTTATTAAAAATATTCTGGTTCATTTTGGTCCATTTTTTACTTTAAACTTAAATCAGTAAATTCCCATTAAATGCTAAGGCAATACAATCACCTGTGACTTTTTTGCCAGCTAAAAATGCAAAAAAGTGGCCAATAATGAGCTTTTTTAGAAAACACTTGAATGAACCATTAGCTTTTTGAATGGAAACATAAAAACTTGATCCGGCTGTGTTTCATGTTTTCATTTTGAGTTCACCGAAGCAAGATGACAAAGCAAACTAGTCCAGGCCCCGAGGGAGAAGCTCATTGTTTGCGCTGGTGTATTTACTGAATGATTCATTAGATTCGTCCCGCTGTCACAAAACGAAGGACGCAGAACAAAGTCAAAGCCTAAAGATCAAGCTTACGTTCTGCCTTTAGCTGTGACAGCCACTCTGGGACAGTCACCGATGGGTTTGTAGTTCTTCGACCACACAAACTTGGACGTCTCGCAGACCTCACAGGCCTCAAGAGACAGGAAGACATCTCCAGTCTCCTCATCCACACCAGCCACAATCTCCTTTGTGCCTGCAAATTACACGTGAAACCCTCCGGTGAGTAATAACAAAAATAAAATACTCGCTGTCATAAAACTGAGATTCAGATAATCTGTGTTAGTGTCATAAATTAAACTGATAATCATGATATGAACAAATCCAATTTGCGTTGCAGTAATTTGCATGTGTTTGCAGGGAGAAGTGATCAAAGAGATTCACCTTCCAAAGTGTGTACGCATCTTTTCAATGATATGTCAAATATTACAAAGTAAGGAAGAAAGTCTGTACTGTGTGTCTGTAGAAATGAAAAAAGTAAACTACATGAAAGCACTACAGCCTCTATGTTTTGACTGTGTGAGAGAAATTCCCAAAATACTGTGATACCACACATAAGTTTTCATTTGTATATGATATTTGATATCTCTAGTGAATGCTAAAGTTCTCTACTTAAAAATGCTTAACTGTAATTATCGGTGGTTTTGTGTTTTATGTCTGCTCATACGATGTCTAAGTATCTTAATAAAAGACAATTATCATGCTGTCGTCTCACATGTCTCTGAATGTTTTGCCAATATAAAGGATAAAGTGCAGAGCTGGCTGCACACGTTCAGTTTGTTTGCATCACCTGGAATAGCTTTAGCACAGACGGGCTCTGACAACTGGGAAGGTTTTCCAACACCGTGTGCATTGACAGCACGGACTCTGAACACATAGCTTTCACCTTCCACCAGTCCGGTCACCTACGAAAACCAGGGAAATATCATCACATGGAGAGTGTGACTTGGGTGTGGAAAGAGGGTTGGCCATTTGTTGGAATATGCATGATGCACCAGATTTGCTACCTGCAGGTAACGGTGGCTCACAGCTTCCTGATTCACAGTGACGAACTCTGACGAGCCCTTCTTAGCCATGTCCACAAAGTATCCAGTGACAGCACCCGCTCCAGTATAAATGGGAGCCCTCCACAGGATGACCAGAGAGTGGCTTCTGACCTCACTGAAGCTCAAGTCATAGGCTGGGCCTTGAATTTACAGAAACATCATCAGTGCCAGAAAGAACACACGACGCACGAGCTGTAGTTGAACTGGAGTCAACGCAACTTTTTT